ATCAAAATTTGAAATTATTAACAAGCTCTGATTCATGAAGCAAATTTACAGGGAGTACTCGAGACAAGAGAAAGCAAAGATAAGAATCATATTAATTAGATCAGACAATAGAGAGTCGTGTTTCGTATTGGAAAAAAAATCATTTTACAAAATAAATATCTTCTTGTCTATATACGTTCGGTACAATTAATCTGTCTTGATATTAGCGATCGATTTTAAATAAGCGAACATTGCATTGTTGGCAATAATGCCGTTTCAGCATTTTCTGCATCTGCAGAGGATTATCAGAAGCATATTATTCTTCATCATCTATTATATATCAGAAAAAATACTTGTTATTCTCAGCTAATTCTGAAATAGCTGATAAGCACGAAAGGATATTTAAATAATTTTACTATGCATCCAATTTTACTATTGACTTTTCAAAACTTCGAGTAACGATGAGCTTATTATTGTACATTTATATAGTTTTGAAATTTTGATAAATGTTAGAAATACGTTGCAGACGACGTTCGGTGAAAACGATCAGGAGACGAAGAAAAATATGTATATAAAGAAGGTGGTAGAGAGGGTGGGAGTCCTGGACAGACGGCGACCTTGAGCGCAAAGGTGCGCATCCTGTATACAATGCATACACGTTTAGCCGCGTGAACGCGCACGCATAAAGAGCAAGAGGGAAGGTGCGGCCGTGAACCAAAGTTGTGAAGGATGGAAGCTGCCGGCAGAGCTTCTCACATTGATTAGCGTGTGGCACTTGTTCACTCGCAATCAGTACTGGACCAGGGACAGGGACGAAAATTGCGTCACTCCCTCCCCCCACCCCTCACACTTTCTCAATGTCTTTCTCTCGTACTTATCACGTCATATACTCCTCTGCTCTATTCCTGGTATTTCATTAATAAATCCGTGCGTTTAGCTCTACAAAATCTATTCTATCCTTTTTCCAGCATAGAATTTAGAAACATTCATTGTATTAACGAAGTGGGTTTACGATAAAATTTTTGTGACAAATCACGTCAGCTGGAAATCAACTGAAAGCTCACTTTTACACAGATATATGGCACGTAAATGTATTTGTAGCGAGCAACGAGCATTTTCAAAATCCTTCGAGTAGATTTTAGAAACAAAATCCAAGTTTAACGAATGAATGAAAATGTACGTGTGGTAACGTCCATTTACAAATCTTACAAACTGGGAATGAAAAATATTTTAGAACTTGAAAATTCTATGAAAATTTTTCGACGATACTTAATTTAATGTCTCATAACCAATGTAAAATTCTTTAAAATTTGTACGTATGTCCCATGGTTGCATCTTTCTGTTACAATTAATTATACCTTCTTGTCTTAATGAATACAAAGAGTTTGATGGATATTCATTTCAATTAAATAAGAAAGTAGTGGATGTGCATAGTTTCGATATAATATATTTTAATTTTTCTCGTTCGTTTCTCTCTCTCTCTCTCTCTCTCTCTCTCTCTCTCTCTCTCTCGGCATGAAGTATTTAAAGAAAAAAAGGCAAATATGTCCTAATAAAAATAAATGTATTGCGTGAAATAAGCTTATTTCTTTTCCAAGATGTACGAACCTTTCTGTGCTTTATTCAAATTTGTAACGTACAAGCTAACCCCTGTAAGCTTTGGCCATTTCATACATTATTAAATACGTTTATTTTTCATCGTTTGAGAAACCACAAGCACATGGCTGGTAGATAAAAAAATTATACAGTTCACTAAAGAATTTTCGATTATTATTTACCACAAATCTATAATCATTGACAATCATGCTAGAAAATTACAAACATAACATAGTTTATTTACTCATTCATTATACGTTGGTAAAAGCTTCTAGAACATGCGATATTCAGTAAGTTTAAAATACTTTCGCTTTATTTTTTTGTAGTACTTACAAATTTTTACGTGCGCCGTAATACACTCACAAGAGTGTTGGGAAATTTGAACGCCACCGTATATCCCACGACCAATGACGCACCATAATTACGAAAAAAAACATTATTTCGAATAATAAAAACAGTTCGCAAATAGTTTCAGGAATTGTTGTACTTATATTGAATGAGGTATTGAAAAGTAGGAATTTATTTTAAATCGCGTTAATGATTGTTTACATATTACATACAATGTGATGATGAAATATACGAAATTCAGCGGCACTAACAATCCATCATCGAATAAATCGTCAATCGTGTTATGCACGTCTATTACGTGTGTCCGTAATTATTGCGTACAGGGTATACCCGAATAAAACGTAACATTTTAACGGCTTCGAGTGGACAGCTTTGTATCTCTATTATATAATCTAGCACTGACGCCCACATTGACTGAATAAATTAAATCTTAGTTGGCGAAAAACTACGTAAATAAGAAACGGATGAAAATAAAGAAAGTGTCTGTCGATTATTATTATTGAATTAGAAAATGGTACTAAGCAAAGCAAACAAAAGTTGCAGTTGCAACGAAAACTTTTTGCGGAGATGACGTTTACCGGCTAGTCGACTAAGGATAGCCACATCAAAGAATTTTATCGTGCTCAATACTAATTACAGTGAAAGCCAAGTAGCTCACGCCGTGCGGCATTGAACTTGTATTAGTCGCGCGCCGCGGCCTTGCTTCGATATCCAACGTGAGCTGTATAGAGAAACGGCGCACGCCACAAGACCGAACGTAACGGTGAATTCCGGTCAGTGGGCGACCTGATCTGTCGTAACATTATCCCAGTTATCGCGGTCTGTGATGGTGAAATTTTCTATTTGCACCTTCTCAAGATGAGTGTTAAGCTGCCCTTGTCTAACCAACTTCAACACATCCGTTTTGATTGTAATCTCAGCTCCCACGTCCCTTTGCCAACACTAGCTAGACCGCACTCTTCGTTTGGTAGTTAATTCATTACAAATTTTATTCGATCGAAATGTGAAGTAAGTGCTCACAGTTATACAATCTACATTTGTGCAAACGGCAATTCCTATTTTTACCTAACGTCAAACTATTATTTACCGCATATTTCAATAATAATTAATAATTTTTTAAAATTAATTATTACTTTTCTAAAATAAATAAAAACAATATCTATTGATAAGCAAAAAAAATGGGATGATCGAGAATCAAAATGAAGGTATCATACTTAATAAATAATTGCAATAGTAAGAAATCAAAAATGAAAAATAGCTAATTTTTCATAAACATATTTGAGAAATGCAACATATTTTTAAGAAAATTCACACAAATATGATGCGCTCGTAATATAATGAAATATTGTCGATAACCGGTATTTATCGTAGGAGGCACAAAAATGTATTGCTATAATTGTCAAATTACGGATGTAGCTGAAGAAATTGAGCGACTTTGAGAGAAACGGCTGGTCAAAAGTAAACGTAAAAAATGACAGGTATGTGTGGTAATAAAGAAAACAAGATATAAGTTGGCGTTGCGCGCGTAGGTAAGCAAACGGGTTTGGTGCCGCGGGTGGTCACGTTGCTCGTTTCCTCTTTCTCTTTTGCAATCTCGCAATGCAGAAAATTATCATTCCGCGTGCTGCGCACAGCATCGGTCGCGATTTCATGCTCTGCGCAACGCATAAGACATGTCATTCACGTATGGGACTGCTACTGTATGGTTTTGCTATGTGCGACGCGACCTCGTCGGAACTCAAACCTAGACGGCTATGAAAAATCATCCATCCGTGAGCTCTTTCTCCAGTTCATCTTCTTTCTTTTTCTCATAATGCCCGAGAGCACTTGCCTGCACGCCGACGATGCTAAATGAATGTTCCAAACATGTTTCAGCGAAAATTTTGATGAGTGTGCAGCATCTTCGTACTTTCGCAGTAGAATGCTGCAGTGCTTTTAGACTGATTTCAAGGACCAAACTAGTGTAGAGTAAAAGCCGAATGCACGCGAAAGCAACGAAACGGAGGCTGCGGGCGAGTCAATGCAGAATGCCGCTTTTCGCGAGTAGACTCGGAGACGAACTGCCGCGAAGGAACGCCAAGGCTGTTAAAAAAGGGCCGGCGCGCGACGAGGAATGACGATCGATTGCATAATGTGTTCGGAAATGCGCGGATCGTATAACCATGACTAGAGCGGAGTGACGGGATAAGTGGAGCGTTGGCGGAGCCCACTGCTCTCGATCTCCGTGTCGTCGTACCTCGAGATTCGTCTAAAGGCTGCTTCGTGCCTGTCTGCCAAAATAGACATGTCCGATGTGCTAGTACTCGCCTCAGCAACTACCACGTGTCGTCGGTAAATTGGCAGTGCAGCAGTTACTCCGCCTATGAATCTGTCCTATCCATTGATTACCAACTCTCCATTCAATGTATATTGATGAATATTGATGAATATTGGCGAGTGGGGCCATTCCGCCTGCTATCAATCAGCTGTATACGCCGCACAAGTAAGCGCTATCAAATCCGTGGCAGCTTAATCGCTAATACAGACATTGGTTCCGCGAAGCAACTGGCCTCTCGATCAAAGAAGCACGGAACAGTTTGAGAGATAGTTTCCAAAAACAAAAAGGAAAATCTCGAGAGGAAAATTGTGCGATCACGGAAAATGCGCGCTCGCGTCAGTGGAATAGGGAGGCGCTCTGGCGCGTGTGTACCGCAACGTTTAATTATGCTCGCTCCGCCGCGGCAAATGAACCTGTTATGGAGGAAATTGCTCACACTCGGGCAGCAATGAGATCATTCGTGCGAGAAGAGCGCTCGATATAAGAATCACGTGCGCATGCATATACGCACGCATGCCTAGGTTCTATTACTCCGTGCCGGGACATGCAGCGCCGTATTCAGCAGGTTTTTATGCCTTTGCCTCCCTAGCCTAGCCATTCTTACGCACGCAACGGTATCTTCAGTCGCAGCTATACATTTTCAAATAACCAGCTTGCCCATAGTCAATAATCACGTGGCAGCTAAACTCTCCGTGAGCACGTTCTGGGCCTTTCAGAAGTATCAGTCTCAGTTAACGAACATTCAATTTTCTCGTTGCAGAACTACAAAGCAAAGGATGCCGGCAAAGTGGTCGTCTACACGACAACCATGGCTATCGTCCGAGAGACGTACTACCGGTGCGTAATGGTCAAGCAAATCCTCAGGACACATATGGTCAAGTACGAAGAACGGGATATGTATATGTCGTCAGAATTACAGACCGAGCTCAAAGAGAGACTCGGTTGCGAAGCCATACAAGTGCCGCAGCTTTTCATAGATGGTCAATACATTGGGGTAAGCTTGTTTTTTCCTTCCTCTCTTCCACTGCAACACATTCGACGCAGAGTGCAAAGTTTCACTCACCGATCTCAATCTCATTGGCATCATTGATCAATCGCTTACCGTGGCGGCGCGTACGAGCTCGGCGTGCTTCGTGCACTCGCTGACGATTTCACGCAATTTACATAATACCGCGTAGTTTCAAAGTGCACTTAGCTTACGCAACTAGCAATTCTTGGCAATTGAGAAAGTCGCCAACATAAGATGTCAAAAGAGCCGGCGCTTTGTATTTCACATATTTGCTAGTCGACTGAACCCAATGTTATATCATTTATAAAATATAAATGCTGCAGTTTTTCCGATAAATCGATAAATGGCGCGTTACTTATATACATTTAACGCCTATTCTCAGTAACATATAGCAACACGTGTGTAATACAGCAGAGACGAAATACTGATACATCTTTCATAAACTGAAACACATAATAAGTTCTTGTAATTGAATTCTAAAGAAACAATTTGCACAAATCAATATTCATATAGAATCATAACAAAATAAAAGAATTTCCATGTAATGGATATATCTTCAAAAAAGTGAAAACATTCGAATTGACTAGGAAAATGTTGTAATCGGTAAATCATTAAACAAGTATTTATGACACTTGAGTCAACAAATACTGGTCGAACCTTGTGTCAACAGAAGGTAAAGTGAAAGTTTTTATATCTTCGTTGGTATAACATATGTTGCCTGATTATATCCGCGTGTAATAGACTTGTAGCTGTCATGGAAACAAATATAAATCTTAGCATATTTATCATACAACGTCGTATAACGACAGTATATTAATTTGAGTTTATTATTTTTTTATTTAAAAGGGCAATTAAATACACAGCATAATACTTTATAGTTATTCAATACAAGTCTATTACTCGTGCCATTGTAATTATAAATTTTTTGAATTTTATTATGATATGATGTAAACTTTCTTCTTCGCGTTGTCATAACTTTTTTATCTATAAGTGCATCATAAAAAATATCGCATTTTATGAATAATGTTACCTGGTTGATGTATCTACAAAATATTATCATGAACCGTCCTCACAAATGGTGTCCAACTTAATACTATTTAGATGAAAAAAAAGTACATTAATGATTGGAAGAAGTGATGTTATCAAAAATACGTTTGTAGAGGTGATTAAATTATTTTTATTCGTTTTATTTCATGCTCTAGATAGGGTCAAATACACTCTAGCAAGTGCACAATTATCTTGATGACGCACTTAGAAACTAATGTGTGTTGACAGTGAGACAGATGCAGAGTATCCTCTTCCAGCAACGTATTACATACTTAAGCCAAGTGCTTCTATCTTTCCTTTTATTTAGGTATTATAAGGAGTTATAAGTAAGCCATGGCAACGTTTGGAGTTTGACAGTTAATAAAAACGTTATAAAATAAAAGCAATACAATATTAGATTTGAATTTTGAAAGTTAAAACGATATTTAATGGCATTTAAAATATCATTCCGATAATACTAAAAATTAATCTTTCATACTTCTTACGTATTTAAAATTTGTCATTTATTGTTTTTACTTAAATTTTTAAGTAAAGAAAAAACTGTAAAATAGTTTTCTTTATTGAGGAATAAAATATGCACTAAATTTAATAATAAAAATGCAACATGATTTGTACAGGTAAATAAAACAATAATTTGCTTTTTGTTACAGAATGCTGATAAAGTTGAGAGATTAAATGAAACTGGCGAATTACGTTTGATGCTCAAACCTTACAGGGTAAGTTTATTGAACAGTAGAATGGCATGTTGCAATGGTTGACTGTCACTGTTGGATAAATAAAAGTTAAATCTAATCGAGGAAAAATGTTCTATCTTTTGAAGAGTCTGAACGCCTGCAATACGTGCCAAGTTTGTGGAGGTTACCGACTGCTGCCATGTCCTATATGCAATGGGAGCAAGAAATCATTGCATCGTAACGACTTCACCACCGAGTTCATCGCGCTGAAATGCATGAACTGTGACGAGGGAGGATTAGTGCGCTGCCAACACTGCTGAAAAACATTCGTCACGTTGTACGTAAAGATTGTTTGAAAGTTCACTGATTTCCCATAACAATAATGAATTTCAAGCCGATCGGTCGACTCGAAGAGATTGAACACTGTGACTTTTTACGGAAGAATAAACTGGGCGTCACTGCTTTTGGAGTCAGACTCTCATTTTCTTTATTTGTTTTTTCTATAAACGGTCACCAGTTCATCAACCGTTTTTCATACATGAACGGATTACGAGTTTGCTACTGACCGCTGCTGTAATTATTTTATAGATTTAAAGAATTCGCTCGATACGACGCAGTCGGTATTCGTCGGTTTTTCGTGCACTGGTCACTGCTAGTTGTTCATCACTTAATATTGTTGTTTTGTTATGTCAAGTGCCTTTCGCGACTTTGCTCGCTTTTTTTATAAATCAATCTATCACTGCCGTTTATTGTATCATAGATTACTGTCTTTCGTGTTAAGTTGATGTTATGGTCAAAATTTGGTGACCTTTATTTCTATTCATTATGTTAATTTGTGTAAATATTTTTGTCAGTTATCTTTGAAAGAAACTATTTATTGAGCTACAAATTGTCAACTGCTAGTAGTTATATAATGACTGGATCGAAGATTTTTAAGCTAGTTGTTAATGATCAAGGCACACCTATTTCAAATCATTTTTTCTTTGTGAAAAAATAATTTAAAATAAATCAAATTTATGTGAAAACAATTTTCGTTTCATTTTTGATTGAAGAAAACTGTATTATGCCTTTTTTGATTGAATTTGGATGAATTACAGTGTGATTAAATATTCTTACGTACTAAGCAGGTTCAATACAATTGTATTTGTGTGATCTCGCGCAATAAAATTAATTGGTGATGGCCTTGAAAGTACTATGCAACTTATATTTTATTCAATTACTACAAATGCAATGGGTCAATTTCATTGAAACAATTTTGACTTACTTAAGTTGAAATTGGATATTTAAAAAAAATTATCAATACTGAAAATATCTGTCGAATATAAACATGTAATAAATGTAATATCTAATTTCTAATGATTTCCAAAACTAACTTGAGAAAAGAAATTCCGCAGTATAGAATAACTAATGAAATTGCTGTATTTTTTGAATAATGGTAAAATCATACTTATAATATTAATGTACATTTACGAAGAATAATGATTGAACGACGTTATGATTTAATATTTGTGCAATATTTAAAAATATAGTATTGTTTAATCAAGTGTATAAATTTATAAAAATCATGTTGTATATACCCGTTCTAATAAAGTTGTCTAATTTCTTAAATATACTCTAATATATATTTTTTTATTTCTTAATGTTTCTTTAAATTCCTTGTCTTGTAAATTTGAAATGTAGACTATCCAAATTGTTTTCCTTTCAAAAATTATTAAATTCAGGAGCGATTAGTGTTTACGGAAACAGATTAAATAAATTGCGTGAATTCAAAAAAATGTAGATAAAATCTAGTCCATATAGCGCACTTAGTACCGTTATGTTGAACTTTAATTTCCATCCTATAATAAGAAAAGATAAATCATAAAAATAATTCATAGATAACAATTAATTTTTTTTTCATTCACGGTGCGACAAAATGATTTCCACGATCATTTTCGGATTAAATATATTACATCAAAGAGCATTAGCGTAAACTCTCACAACTTTCTTTATTCAAACTTTAATTAAATGAATGAGCTTTATGGAAAACATTCGATGTACACTATAAAAGAAAGAGAGTTTTTTTTAATTAGACATAACTACAAGTGACCAATAACACTTTATCGATTTTATTCTCTTTATGATGTACTCTATAATTTCTAGAGAAGTTTGAAACTCATTTAGAAGTCGTTATATTGATGATTAGTAAATGTATAATAAGCCAGTGATTGCATATGAAAATATTAGTAATTGCTTTGTAAGGAAATAAAATGATTTAATCGGACGTATAACTAGAGTATCAATAAAACAATATGTAGATGGACCCGTTGATCGAGTGAAATGTACAGTAGATGCTAAAAGTCAACACACATTGTAACAACTTCGAAAATTAAATGTTTTGAAAAAATAAAGAAAAATAATTATTAAATGTACAATATTAAATTTATACAATAACAAATAAATAAATGCATAAAATATGGGATGTAAGTTTGAACTCGCGTGTGAAGATACAACGATGAAAATAAAATACTTTTAGGTGCGTGATGTACAAAGACTTTTGACATCCGCTAAGTGCTGTAGAAAAGATATTGTTTCGTGTGAAACTATACTTTCATTGTCCATGGTACGGATAGAATAATTCGAAACCTTTCACGCAAGACTAAGCATTCTCTCGGTTGATTCGTTATTTTAAATGAAAAACACCTCCTCGCACCGTTACAAAAGAAAGTAGCGAAATGGAGAAAGCTTGTGAATTGCAATAATCTGATGTAGAAGATTTGTTTTTTTCGTAGCTGCTGTTCGCTAGCCGTTAATTTTATTCAAGCCTATCAACGATTCATTCAGCACAACGAGAATGGAGGGTTTTACGAATATTATTCGATGGCTCAGGTACTTCTAGATGCTTGAGTTGAGATAGGTTTCTGTGAATCCTTGTATTTATTGAAATCAAATGAAAAAACAAAGATCACCGATAACAGAAATTGCAGGATAATTAAGCAGTAGCCAGTAAAGAGCTGAAATAAGTCAGTTTTAGAACAAAGATAAACCTTCGTACAGTAGCAAATAATCAATTAACGTAAAACATTCGAGTCTACCGGTAGTATACCAGTCAGTAATGGCCTTAATCATAGTGATGCTATACGTGTACGCCGCAGCAGAGATTTCCGTAAAAGTGATGGGCGCAAGAAGCATAAACGAGCGCTTTTTCATGCATGCAACAAGTTAAATCGATTTGGCTGCGCCAGCAGCAAGCCCTCCGGCAACCTTGACGTGACTGGATACAGCACGCAGGTCACTACGTATACGTGCGTCGAGTTCGTGTTGTTCAATGCTATTTTGTTTCTCCCCTCACTACCCTATCAAGTTACCCCGAAATTGACTTCTCCCATTTGCTTCCCTTTCTCTATATTCTATATGTATTGCCGCCTTTGTCTCTGTGTCCTTCTCGGCTTTTTTCTCTTAGCTTTTAAAAGTCATTTGCAGCTCAACTCGAAAAAAGCTTCAAAATAACTGTCTATCTCGTATATTATGTAGATAATCCTGTATTTATATATGGACAGTGAGCTATTATTTTATATTTTTCTGGTTATAAATTTTTCTTTCCTTTGAAATGCTAATCGATAGATGCGTGTGTATCTTCATTCGTTCAATTTGATTTTACGTTACAATAAAATCTGAAGTGTTTCGAACGCTCTTCCACTCAACCTCTATGAAATTCAATAGTCTACAAATAACTTTCAATGGAAAAAAGAATTCCTTAGTTTTTGACTCTATTGATAAATATATTATTGCATTGACGAAGAAAAAAGGTACTCCAGATGAGATTTATTTACTTATTTATTTATTGATCGATAAAGCAATCCTTGTTATCTGTAATCAGCTAAAACACGCTATTACACAGCTATTACACGCGGATAATAAATTATAACCAAGCTATACATTTTTATAACAAGATTAAAAAAACTGGTAGTGGTTCTACTAGTTGTTTTTACCAGACTACAGGTCTCGTAGTTTGAAACAAAAAAGTACAAAATGTGGCAATCACTGACCAAAATGTTAAGTATAATTAATATTGATTTAAAAAATTACACTTTATACAATAACACTATATAAAATCTAAATAGAAAAGATTAAAGGTATAGTTATTATTTTGCAACATTACAATTTAAATATATTCGTTAATGGCCATATTGCCACTTTAAAAAACATTCATTGGTAATATGTTCTAATTTGTTTAAATGAAACAGATGATTGATTTGGCAATTATAGGAGCTTTAGGTAAGATAAACAATATATTACGTACACAAGTGAAGCGATAAATCGATCTGCTATTTATACACCAACGTCTTATATTTTGTAACCTATCGTTAATTAGAGATACTTAAAATAAATATAATAATGAAAATTCAATGACAGACCGCCTGGAAGATAAAATGTTACGTAAATAAACATCGCTTACACGTACACCCGGAGCTAAGGGTGCTCGAAAGCGTAACAGAGAAGAAAACTAAACATGGATCTACTATTATAAAGTTTGCCTATATGTATTATTTTGTTTAGAATTTTTATCATGTGCTTGTGAACACTATTCTATACTTCAATGTAACACAATGTGGATAGAAAAAGACAAATAAAAGGTACTTAACGCGATAAAAAGCAGCCCTGACATCGAACGTAGATGAAGGTTTTCACGTTATCGTTTGAAAAGTGTTTTTTTATACGCTTCGAATATTTTTATTGAAATAATGCCGAAACGAGCCACCTTAGTTTGGGAAAAGGGACGATTTCGACGAATTCAAACAGTCGGAACAGCAGAAGATAAAGATAAGGCACGAGAGCAACAAGAGGAAAAAAATTATTGAGAACGGTAAAAAGTGAGGGACCCGAAGAGAAAGGAGGAGAGGCAGAAGGGCTGCGCCCTTATAAAAGAAAAACACAAATAATGAAAAAGTTAGCTAAAACAAGCGAGCAGCAAAGCCGAAGGGCAAAAACGCATGCGGCAGGTGTATAGGCAAGCTAGATGGAAAATAAAAATATACGTAAAAACGATACAAGCGAAGTGAACACGTGCGTGAAAGGAGCGCAAGGGGCGCGTAGAAGGGGAGCGGCTTGACCATGAACGGCTAAACAGGGGAAGAGCGAGAGAGGAAGGTCGAAGGAAGCAACAGCGGTGAGCGTCGGGGAAGAGACCGGAGTCCGAGACCTTCACCGAGACCCAGTTGGCGCGCAGCGCGAGGGCTTGCGCGCTCGCATTCTCTCTCTCACTCTCGCTCTGTCGCTCGACATTGCCCCTGAGAGCGAGAACAGCCCCCGGCCGAAGGTCTATCCCTCCCTGGTCAAGGGATGCGCGTTCCTTGTCAACCCCTCACTTTCTCCGATCGCTACGCAGGCAGCGCCAGCACCCCTCTTTTTCACTTTCACTCGTCGCTCCACGGGGATATGTTCTGGGGCTGCATGCAAATAGACCGACAGAGACGGAGAGAGCGAGAGGAAGAAAAAGCGCGCGCAGCCTGGCACCTGTCGCTCGACACGTGTGCGCACGCAGACGCAAGCTTTATCCTTCCCAGCCCGACTGATCCTGCCTGGCTGCTCTTAGCCAAGGCCTAGAACTTGACGCGCGTGACCCTCTTCCCTCCTGCCGCCTCGCGCGCTCGTCCCGTCTCTTTCCCTCCTCAGCTTTTCGGCTTGTCGGCGTGAGTGGCCGCTGCGGATGCGCGTGCGCGCGCCCGGCGCCGACCGCCGACGTCGCTCCTGCGTGCTGCCGTCCCGCTCGGTCTGCTCGCCTGCCTGCCTGCCTGCCCGCCTGTCCGTCTGCCTGTCGCTCGTATACCCGACGAGAGACCGCGTTTCGTTCTCGCTCGAAGCTACCGTCGAGCAGTCTGCACTGTGCTGTTCTTTTCCAGTTGCACTTTTGCAAACGCTCACACCTCGACCTTCAACTGAAGCGAGCTCGGCCAAGCTCATTGGCAACTGCAGCTGCTACCAGGATTATGATCAACTGGTGCGTCTTTCACATCGATTTACATTGCTGTTTTGAGCTTTCGTTCTCTGTCCCGTAACTATCTGAGCGAGCGGTAGCTCCCTCCACCCCCCTTCCTCGCTGTCTCTGCATCCAATCATTACTTACGAACGTTGCACAATCGCATTGTAATCGTGTAGTTGGTTTGTTTGTTTGTAGTTGCTCGTTGATCGTGAGTAGAAACCGCACCATACAGTTCACGCGCACTCATACTTCGCATGGTTCGACAGTAATCCAAGGGCTGACCACTTGGCGAATCCTCGACGCGTTGCTTCGAGACTCGATCGCTTAGAGTACCTTGGACGAGCTGCGGAGGCTCCAGCATGGGAGTTCTGAAGCCAATATCAGACGGCATCCTCGAGGAAAACATCGTGCCAAGCGAAGAAGCCAACCACTCGATCTTTGCTAGTAAGTTCAAATATCTTTATTACTGTGCTTTCGTGTCCTTCTACCTCTGTACTCTACAATAGCCTCCACTCGTCAACTTTTTCGCTGTGTTATCGACAAAAAAGTTTAGGTTGCAAACCAATTAAATGTTCTTCACGCAACTGAAACTTACGTACAAGCTCAAGAGAATGCTTGCGCGAGCGACACTCTGACTGCGCATATAGGCTAACGCTAACAGGTGTCTGAAACCTACAGATATACCTTGTACAACCTATACACCTTCAGTGCCAGCCATCTTTGCCACCAACTTTTCCTTTATTATTATTCGTGCCCTTTATTGCTCTCCTTTTATCGATAAGATAACGTACACCTATACCCTACATTTGCCGGAACTTTTTAATTAAAATCCACCGTAATCTCTTATCACGAAAAAGAGGCCTTGAAACATCCGGCGGGATACTAGTTCGTCGCTCATTAAATAGTGTTTTTTTATTTATTATATCTGTAATAACGTTTCCGTTGGCCGAATAACTATCGCACGAGTATGTTTGATAATTTTTTTTATCGCTGTAATTAAATAATTTTTAACGTCAATAGAAAACGAGAGAAACTATATATAATACCTAACAAACTGACATTTCATTATTTAAATTCGTTAACCTTCAATTTTTCGTTCTGGAAATTTGTTTTGAAAACTCAATTTCGATTCACGTAGGTTCTAGCAACTTCTCATTCTCGATTCATATCAACTCCCGTTTGGTATTCAGACAAATAATGGTCACACATATTCAATTATATTTTGAGAGTGTTTTGTTTTTCAATTTTAATGATAGAACCTATTTAAACTTGAAAAATAATTTTCAGATGTAAGTTTTCTTATCTGTAATAGCTTCCTTACTTTTCTATACTTGTTAGTGATTTCTCTTCATTATACCTCCATCTCCTCCCCTTACTGTTGTGCGTGGAATGAGGGCTTGTTTAGCCATTATAAAAAAAATGCAGATCACAAAACAAGCTTGCGCATTAAATATAATAGCTACTTTTCTAACTCGAATATGGAGGCGCATATAACAGTGCAAACCTTACTAATAGCATCAATGGAACAGATTCTTGTCCTTGGCCTCACGAGCTACTGCAATTTATCATGTGCAACACACCAACAACTACATAAAGCTTTCTCATCTTTTAATATACTCCCACTTTCTCTTGACGTCGCTTCTCTCACAAATCAATGACTATTATAAAGGACCTTGTTATTTTACGGCGTGATCTGCTCTTCGAGCATTACGACGTATGAGTACAATATGATGAGGTTCTCTCTGTGTCATGGCCGGAACGGGCATACCAAGAACTTTACTGAAATTACAAACTTTTTTAGATTTCCGTGTATTCGAAGCATGCGCACCCTACCGCCCATACGCAATATCGACCTATGGCTTGCAACCTGCTCTAAAGACTTATTCATTATTATAAATATCTTTTGTTGTTTTGAAAAATCGAAAACTGCCTTCTATATTCTGATCATAAACCATGCTATGACGTTCAAAAGCATTTCATTCTATAGCTATTCGCGATCAAAAACAGGATTATAACTTCTTAATAAATTTTATAAAAAACACTCGCCAACCAAATTAGGTAAGATAATTCAAATTTAACTTATAGTCCTAACCTTTTGAATTTGATAGATATATAAAATGAATAAAGCTATCAAAACGAAATTTGATTATCGAAATTATTGACAAAATCTTATTTTATATTATGTTTCGTTATCTTTTAACGAGTACTGAATATTTAAGGTATAAAGTAGACCACAGAGTAAACGCATTTATTACGTTTAATTTCATTATTTCAGATGAAACAGCTGAACATTATTTAACAAAAAATTTAAACATTATCTGAGAAAAGTTTGTAGAGAACACGAATCAATTTTATCGTAAAGCAGAAGCAGTTCTGTTAAAATTACAGCTCAATTGTATATTTCTACAATGGAAATTTACTTGAATGAATTTCCCGCTTAATGAATCAATTACATGTTAAATAGTTATGCCTCAATAAATTGTTTGATTATTATTCTAATCAATATTTTGTAATATGACTTACAAATTTTTATATGAGGATTGTAGTTTTATCTTTAAACCGAATTATAATATATAACAGAATAAATTACGAAAAAACTTGAAAACATCAAGGCTTGAAGAACTAATACTTAGAAATTTGAGCACTTGACTTGGCAATTGATAAATTGAAAGCAATTTCCAAAATATATTCTTCTATTTAACCATATTCATTACATTTTTCTTCGGATGAGAAATCACTATTATGTCCTACTGTTGAATGTGAACCATTTTTGCATGAACACTTATCTGATTCCAATTTTTCACAAGGCTCGGAACACTGAAAACTATCTTCACGACTAGCAAGTAATGGCAGTACACCGTCATCTTGAAATAGCTGAATAGTTTCAAGGCTTGCATTCGCCTCTTCGCGATAATCTGGTTCAAATGTTCGGCCGTTCGGATTCAATTTAAATAAATAATGAGCCTAGAATGCATAAAAACAACTAGTAAATAACTTATCCCAGTAATGATATTCTCTACTATAACAATCAACTAATAAAATATATATCCTTTCAAAAATAAAAATAACATCAACAATAGTTGTTTTCAAGAAGAGAAGTATTTTTAATTATAGGGCTCGTCGTTGAAAGTCAATATGATAATTTTCATTGCTAAAGAGAATTTTTTTTCATTGAACACCAATGCTCCACTTAACTTTTTTCAATATTACATGAATATACAATCGTTGGTTGTATTCTGAATCCATACGAACATTACCACAAGAGACATGAAAATTAGATCGGTGTTTCCTTTTTTACATTCAAGCAGCTTCGAATTTATATATCTACTTGTATATCTATATATAAAACTTGTATGTGAAATGTTTTCTCTGGTTATACAGCTTTAACTTATGCTCCAGTTCTGAAAGCACTGTTAAAGTTGTAGCGTAAAGACTCGTGTATTGAGCATAATTCTAATCAGATATTTTTCCATTTTTTTCTGTTATTTTGCAATAAAAAAATTGCTACTAATTTGTGAATTTATTGAAGCTCAAAAGATTTTCCTACTTGAAGACTCTCGCTAAGGATTTGCGTTAATTATTTATGAAATATATTGTGAGAAATATTTACTCTGATTTTTACGAAATTAAAATTCGAATGATCATTTCCAGGGATCATAAAAATATTATTAATTATTCATTTATTTTCCACTAAAATTAAAACGAAATAAAAAATAAATGACATTACTTTTAATATACTATCATGGTTTTTTTTGGTTAGAGTATGTTAAATATTTCAATTGAATATCTAATTTTCTTTGGATTCCTTTATGAAACCGTACGACTGTATAATGGAACGACCGTATCCAAATATTTGAGGTTACAAATTGAAATGTAATATTAAATACTGCCAATATATCATGGTTAAAGCTGCCTGGTACTGCTCTTTTAAAAGATAAACAATCTCGTAGATTCCGATCAATAATGATGTCGTGTAATTCGAAAATGCTTTCGAAATGCTTTTTAACTGTTACTAGTTATTTTCCAATTGCTTATGCTGCATATAGAATAGTCGATAACACAATTTGCTACTATATTATACAGTTATAGTTATAAAAAATAAAAGTCGTATATAGTTTTGAAACAGTAGCAAAAAGTATGGCAAAAGTGATAATGCTACAAGTTTAAATTACAGTTGAGCTATGTTTCAAAAAATAGCAATGCTATGAATTGTAATATATTTGTGAATTTTGCAAAGCGATCTCTTTCACAAACAGTAATACATCATATTTAATAAAAAGTTAGAGAAGTGAAACTTAGTGAACAATCATGTTACAACGATGAAACTGAACGAATGTTTAACAATCCGCATAGAATAACTATAATTGTCAGTATTAAGATCTTAATCAAAAGTAGCTCATATTATTTGATAGAATTGAAATGACACAAATAATCGTAACAAATTCTGTCAAACATATTTTTACAATTAAGTCAAACAACCTGTAATTATTTTTATATCGATGTCGTGTCGCGTTCATAATGAATACAACTGAATTCAATTTAGCAATAAGAATGACACATCTGAATTGAACTGTAGCTGCGACATTGTTTGCATTTTAGTTACGCGAATGCAAAGATGTCACTTTATGGATGTCTGACGTTCCAAGCGTTCCGACGTTTCCGTAAATATGTCGATCGAGAATAGATATTAACGGAAGTGTCAATGGACACTTATATTGACAGCTAAGAATAACAACGTATAGACTTTAGAAAATATCCCATTGTACAATAAAATTTTAGAATGTCTTTATTCGAATTGAACGGTATTTTCCAAATAAAAGTTTTCAAATGAGGCCACTGGATTTTTAGTGTCATTATCGATCGGTTTCTCTTGATACAAATTGAGTTTATGTAACATTTTTTTATTAATCATATTTTTTCAAAATAATCTAAAAAAGCGTCTTTTTATATTTTACATACAGCATCGCTATAGAAAAGTATCAATCATAAAAATATCTTTGAAATTAACACTCTTTTAATTAAAGATATACCAATAAACTATAAATAATATTCAACACAATTATTCAATTCATCAATTCATTAGTAGTTTAACAACTGTCAATAAAAATATTGTTACTTCTATCTTTTAAGCTATTAGTTGCTATGCCTGACTTAAGCGGATTTTCACTACTTAAATTAGATGAAATGATTGATAATGTTCACAACTAGATTATTTATTCATTTTGATTGATTTTACTAACTGTCTAATGAATAGTAATTAAAATAATAGGTAATATTTAAAAATTTGACAGTTGTTTAAATTTTATGGTTTGATTTTAACAGGAAGAATATAAAATTCTATAGCACAACATGCGAAAGTCACACTCAAGTGGCTCAGTTCGATTCCACTGATTCTAACAGGAAATAAAATTGCTGAACATTCCTATGAATACATTAAAAAAAAA